ATTTGTGTATTTGGACATAAACATAGATGAAATAGGAAGAAATCCGTTTTCACAAACTGCATCCGTGATGCGAAGGAATGTCTGAGTAGATGTCACTGCAACTCGTATTGAGATCACCTCACAAGCATGAATTGGCCAGGCTAAATTCAGCCACAAAAGTTCGAAATTCCAGGCCTTCAGACTCATGGATAATTCAAACAGGCAAAATCGATTTCGGCACAAGACTCGCTTGTCGGCCCTCGGGTGGGCTACCAGTTTGGCCGCGGAGATGGCCCAGAAGCAGGTAATTTCAGCTCGCGAAATGATGCGGATCCGAGGTGTCTACGCCTACATTATAAATTCTATCGGCAACGTGGCCGCCGTCATAGGCTTTCATACATTGACAGTTTCTGTGTTCGAGGATCAGGACGACGAGACTCCAATCAAAGGCTTTCTCCGCGTCGACCGCTGGGTGTATCCAATGTTGCGTTCATTTTCTCCTATTTTTTGCTGGGGTCCGGATAAAATCATCTTACCCGATCCATTTTCGTCTGTCGGAAGGCCGATATACTTTGTAGTCAGACTGCCACTGTTGATGACGCATCATCAAAAGTCGACCCTCTGGAACCTGTTGGATACGTGTGCACACCTCCGAGGTCAACTGTCAAGTCCGTCATTGCAAGAGCAATTGAATAGGGACAAAAAATTTATTCACGCCATGGTGACCCCTTTTGACAACCTTATACTCAATCAGCGCGCCTTCTTGCCCAGTGCTGAGGCTGCCGGATTGTTGGAGGAACTGGGTGAGCCTCGACTGGCCTTCCGACGACAGGCTCTTGAATTCGATGACACTGCTACTAGCGTAGTCGTGCCGCCCGACCTAAGTCGGCCTTCATCCGAGACCGAATTCATGAACCTGCCAAAAGCTGAGTCGGGTGCCAGTTCTACTCGGATGCAGCAGCCTCGCCGGCAGTCTCCATTACCAAAGTTCAGTCATAAAGAGTTCTACTACAATGACGCCTGTTTGCGTCAACCCGAAGAAGAGCTGATTAGCAATCCGGGCGGCCTGTCGCTAAAGTCGCTACCACAGCACCGGGGAAATGTGATGCGCCTTTACCTGCTCGGGCCCAGAGACAAACAACATATTCAGGTTTGCCTCATCTCAGCCGAACTCTTCGGCGTAGACTTTTTTTACGTTGCGTTTACAAGCATAAATTCCAGCCTAAGCGTCTGAAACTTTTTAACTGCAATGCTGAAAATATGATTTAGCTTCTCAATTAGCCTCTTGAAAGGAGTCGAGTTGAATGAGCTCTGCAGTTAATCGCGTACATCTTCATCTCACTGTGTCGTAGATTGGGTACTTAACTATATTCTACCTCATGCCGGTCAAGTTAGATTATACCTCAGTGTGAAAATGCATCCACCTAAGGCAAAATGTATTAGGGAGGTTTGAAAATCGAGTCAAACTTTATATACAGTTCTTCCAGAAGATATTTTTAAATATACCAAGAATGGTTTTCTAATAAGTTTGAAAACTAGCATTCTGGAACATATTCATGCCGTCCTATAGATAGGTATTATATATATGTGTTCCCACAGTGGTATGGGTCGACCTTACCTGTACAATGGATTTCACCAAGCCTTACTTTTCAAAAGGTATTCACATCCAGGGTGGACTGCAGTTTCGATCTCGCCTAGGTCCTATTAACACCCCCAGCGGGAATCGAACTATGACAGAGTAGCGTATATTCTCGACGCGTTACCCACTACGCCAAATTGCCACGAGTGCACTTGGGTCACGGGGCAGATGTTAATTTCAAGAAAGGCCAGACATTTTCTCATAATATATTATGTTTTGGGACTGTCGATAAGCAAAGTTGTATTTGCTACACAATTGATTACAGTTTTTTTTTATGGGTAGATTTTCACGACTACCAGTAAATCATATGTATGAGATGTTCGTCTTTTTCAACTACTGGTTGCTTCACCGACATTCCCAGTACAGAATATGGGAAAATGGTGGCCTTCCTTGAAATTAACATCTGCCCTGTAACCCAAAGGCACTCGAGACAATGTGGCGTAGTTGGTAATGTGTTGAGATTATATGCTTTGCGGTCATGGTTTGAGTCCCGCTGTGGGTGTTGATAAGACTTAGGCGAGGTCAAAACTGCAGTTCACCCTTGACTATAATACCTTTTGGGAAGCAGGGCTAAGTGCGATTCAATGAAAGTTTTAGTCTACTCACATCATTTTGGGAAAAATCAACTACCAGTCCCCTTATCACTTTAAACGAAATACACACGGATGAATCTCTTGAGATAACATTGTTGGAGGGATTTTCATTTCGCATGAAAGTGCATGGAGAAGAAATTTGAAGATCGATCTCACCAGAATAGGTTGGCTGACTCCTCTCGTACTGCAGCCATCTAGCTTTAATACGACGTTCAGGTTTACGCAGTCCACGAGACATCTTTCTTCGCTTCGGGTGAAAAGGTAATAAGCTTTCGTCTATCACATAATTGACATCATCAGAGCTTGAACTCATCTTTAAAAAGTCTTTTATAGCTAATTAGCTTTCATGTTGGTCTTGCCACTTTTGGTCGAGTGTGTGTGTCAATGTCAACAATAAATACTGGTCCCAAATTAGTGATCAAAAAAACGAATGTCAGGTTCCGGCCATCAAGGCGCAATGGCCCAAGTATAATTGCAGTACAAAAACTCTATTTAACGTAATTCCGTCAAGATTAAAAGTGGCAAATGAGCAGTAGTGATCAAAAGATCCTCCGATGTCATGTCCTTCGACACCCAGGTCTCATCTGCAGTGGTAAGTTTCATTTTGGTGCGCACACTTAAGCCTAGAATCCAATTTGAGGTGCTCATGAGGCTGAAGTAGGTTGAAACTGCATAAGACCTAAGAAGCAAGGCTAAGAGAAATTCGATGACTATAATGGCCTACTCATTTAATTGCAATAAACTCAGCATTTTTTTCCTAGTGACCAAATGAACACGATTACGTATGATAGATATATTGATCGCTGTCTTAAGGGTTTGTATAAGAAATACACAAAAGTTTCGTTGATTCTGTGTTTTTCCAATCTCCTGTTCATTATATTTCTTGCATTGAGGATATCGATAGCCATTAAAATCTTTCATTATCTTATATTTTCCCCATACGCCTTAAAATCGATTTCGTGTCCCTTCCGTGCAATGAGTTGCGCTATTTCAGATCTCTTTGTATTTATGTTCATGAAGTCTCCGATATTCCGTGATTCGTAGACTGATGTTGCTTCCTTATTAACCAATATATTTGAGCCCATTTGCTTCATCTGATGTGACAAACCGCCAAAAAATGTAGTCCATGTTGCGTCTATTGAAGTGTTGCCTTATCCTTCGGGATAACCTGGAT